GCTTTCGACGTTTGTTTTCTTTTAGGGGAATACTCCGAAAAGTGATGTTTATTATCGTGGTCTATTTTCTATTAATAGTAGGCCTATTGTTTTGGTGATGTTGTTTTTTGTGTTGTTTTTTTGTGTGTTTTTATTTATTTATTTTTTTTTGGGGGGGGGGGGGGGTTCTCTTTATTTTTCTTTTGAGGAAAGAGAAGCACATCAACACAATAATGGTCATTTAGAGTTGAGAAAAAGTAACAAGTAAAAAGGAACAACAGAGGAAAAGTAAAGAAGTGGACGATGGGGCTTCGCACTACTTGAGGAGTCATCACGCCACGCAGGCGCGTGCGTAGGTTATGAAATCAAACACACACACAAATCAAACACAGAAAGGCCAACAAAACAATTCACACGTTCACGTCATGTTACAGAAGATATGGAGTCAAGTTTATTTTGTAACTTTCTGGTATCAGTTGTATTCTGATTATGTTGAATAAACTTTAAGGAACACATAAAGACATGTAATCAGTAATGAGGCACTTTAAAATTCATGACATTTCAAATACCATACCCAGTCACAATTCATTTTTAAAAGTTAACAAAAATAGGAAGCATCATAGCTCTACTCCTGACCACTGGAGAATAAACAATTCATTCAGTTTCATAACATGACAGAAAAAGAAGTACAACTAGGAAATTATATAAAATACTGTGAATTGGCGCAACTCCCCACCCCTGCCACACACACTCACTCAAAAAGAACAAATGTCAGGTAAAGGAGCTGTAAGTTTTTCCTGTAATCGACTGCTTATCTCAAGTCTGTAGAAATAAACAAAACAAAATTCATATATTATTTCTCAGCTGTGGTGTGATTCTCACTCAAATTGGCATACGCATAGACTACATAAATTAATTAGACAAATAATGAATTACAATTGTAAGTAGGCTAGAGAAGAAAACTCGTGGTTATTCCTGGGCTTTTAAATCATTCAAAATGAGATCTTGAAAAACAAAACTCGGTCCGTCCCGATAGCACAGTCAAAGGGTCATGTCGGGTCACTAGAGACGGTAGCAGCGGTTCGAAATCTAGTATAATATACCAGATAAGATAGGATAAGATAAGATAAGATCATCGTCATCATTGCCTTTCTCACCCTGTACCAGGGTATAGGCCACGTACAAACACCTTCCACCTTTCTCTATCCTGGGCTAGCCTCTTGATGTTATACCATGTCTTCCCACTTTTCTGTACATCGATTTCTGTGATTCTTCTCCAGGTTCTACGCGGTCTTCCCCTTGATCTCTTACCCAGTGGGTTCCAAACCAAAAATTTCTTTGTTATGTAGCTGCCTGACTTCCCGAGAGTATGTCCAATCCATCGCCACCGCCTTCTTCCTACCTCATCTCTGACTGGGATCTGTCTTGTTTTCCTTAACACTTCCACATTGGTGACCCTGTCTGTCCGTCTGATCCTCAGTAATTTTCTTAGACATCTGTTCAAGAAAACCTGGATCCTCTTTATGCTAGTCTGTGATGCGTTCCATGTATCAAATCCATACAACAGGATCGACTTCACGTTTGAATTGGAAATCCTCAGCTTTGTTCGAAGTGAGATATCTCTGGTCTTCCAAATCCTATCCAAAGATATGAAAGCAGCCTCTGCTTTTCCAATGCAGGACTTTATTTCCGCACCTGTTCCTCCCTCTCGGTCAATTATACTCCCAAGATAGCAGAAGGATTCAACGCTTTCTAGTGCCTTTCCTTTTATTGTGACCTGTTCCTTTCGTTGTGCATCTGTCCTTAGGACCTTTGACTTTCCGGGGTGGATCCTTAATCCCAGACTCCGATAGGCTGTTTAAAACTGTAGTCTTTGCTTGCATCTGTTCGTGGGTGTGCGACAGAAGCGCCAAGTCGTCTGCAAAATCCAGATCGTCCAACTGTGTCCATGGTGTCCACTGTATACCTTTTCTGTGTTCTCTGGTGGTTTCCTTCATCAGCCAGTCGACTCCCAATATGAAGAGGAACGGTGATAGTAAGCATCCCTGCCTCATACCAGCCTTGAAGTCAAAGATGTCAGTGAGCTGGCCATCATCTACAACCCTGCAACTTGTCCGTTCGTACATGCTCTTGATGAGGTTCACCAACTTCTGTGGGATTCCGTGGTGTCTCATTATCTTCCATAGTGTTGCTCGGTCTATACTGTCAAAGGCGTTCTCATACTTAAGGAAGTTGACAATCAGCAGAGAGTTCCACTCCAGGGACTGTTCCACAATAATCCTTAGCGTGGAATCTGGTCGGTGGTTGAGCGATTTTTCCGGAAACCAGCCTGTTCATACCGCAGTCTTGGATCCGTTGCTGTCTTGATTCTCTCTCTAGAATGCTTCTGTTGCAGACCTTACCTTGTATAGAGAGAAGAGTGATCCCTGTGTAGTTGCTGCCGTTGCTGAGATCCCCCTTTTTTGGAAGCTTCACGAGGTGTCCTTCTTTCCAATCCTTTGGGAACTTGCTCTCACTTCAGATCCTGGTAAACAGTGGGAGGAGGATGTCTGCCGTCCCATTGGCATCTGCTTTTAGGGCTTCAGGTGGAATCTGGTCAGGGCCGGCCGTTTTACCTTTGTTCAGCTTCTTAATGGCATCCAGAATCTCTTGTTTTGAAGGAGCATCACAGCAGATTGGTAACTCATTTCTTGCTGGCAGGATGTTTGGTGGGTTACTCGGTGGTGGTCTGTTCAGGAGACTGTTGAAATGCTCTTCCCATCGTTTAGACTGAGCTTCCTTTCCAAAAATGGTTTTCCCCTCTTGGTCCTTTAAATTACTGGTACTTTAGGTTTCCCATATTTTCCAGCAAGTGTCCTTGTGGTCTGGTGAAGGATTCGCATGTGCCCTCCTACCGCTGCTTCATCTGCCTTCTCTGCCAGCCTGTTCATTAATTCCTCCTTGTCTTTTTGTGATTTCTTGACATCTTTAGCTCTTGTCCTGTACTTATGATGTTGACATCCTTCCTTGATAGTTTGTCGATGACCCCCTGGAGCTGGATGTAAAAGTCATCCTTGTCTTCATCCGAAGCATCATTTGTTGGGGCGTAGATTTGGACTATATTCATGTTGATGCTCTTGCTCCTTGTAGTGAATGAAGCCATGATGATCCTTTCCACGTGTGGTTCCCATCCTCTAAGTGACTTCTGTGCATACTTACTCAAATGATTCCCACTCCTTCCGCATGGTACTTGTCTTCCCTCCCAGAATACAATACTTGTTCCCCCGAGCTGAGCTGCTTCTGCCCAGACTGTATCCAGTGTGTTTCGCTGACTGCTAGTATGTGCAGCCTGTATTTCTTCATCTATTGTACTACTTGAGAACTCTTTCCTGCTTCATACAAGGTGCGAACATTCCACGACGCAATCTGGAGTGACTTGTTCAACAGAGAAGGTTTCGGGTCAGAAGAGTCCTTACGGCTTTGTCCGCTGTCCTTCATTGTTCATGCTGATGCAGAAGCTACTCCGTCTCCCAAGATCGAAAAATAAAAAAGCTGTGTTCGTCCGTGTTTCTGCAACTTACTGTTTTTTACTGGGTTGGGTAGTTGGCCCTCCGCAAACTGGCACTTTTCGGGCGACCAGACCTATGCACTTTTAGTCGCCTCTTACGACGCGCAGTATCACGGCAAGTGTATTCTTTGCTCCCCCATATAGTAAAACTATGGGGACCCCACCAGCAGGGGCGGGGGGAAATTTTTCTTGGCTGTACAGGACCATAAAAACACATGCATGTGTACATAAAACTTTAAATGATATATTACTCTCATTAAAATCCAATAGGAAAAGAGAAGTAAAGCTGACAAAATGTACATTCACATCAGATGCATCATTCAACCACATGCAGGAATTTAATTACAAGGCCTTTGGAGTTATATAATACAGATACAATGTACATAGTCTAAAGAGCAACACACCTATATGTTCATTCTGGTAACAAAAATTCTTTTATATTTTTCTTTCTTTGTTTTTGGAGGTACACATCAGCCGCAGCGTGACATTACAATTTGTGTGGAAAGCGGTGTGATGGGTCGTTTACAATGTGTTTTTTAAAATCCTTTTTATACGTGTGGTGTTACACATTTCATCAATTCTAGTAAAATCATATCCAGAGATCTTGGCACGATAGGCAAATCGCATGTTATCCTCTAAGATTTGTATAAGAGCCTCGTCGGCCACTGAGCAGCGCCGGAAGGTGCGGCTTAAATGAAAATTACTGTATGTTGAAGGCTTCAGATTCAAATTCATAATATTGAAATGAAATCACTCTTCGGGGTAGTCTGGGGCAGTCCGGGGTAGTCCGGGGCACAATTAAATAAAGTGACAGGCCAGGACTATTTGTACTACATGTACATGTATATCTAAGGAACTGATCCTCCTTAATGCTGGATCCGTGGAAGATGATGATAATGATCCTTTATTCTGTCCGTACTCACACTATGCGCGCGAGTTCAAGAGTGTGTGTATGTGTGTGTGTGTGTGTGTGTGTGTGTGTGTGTGTGTGTGTGTGTGTGTGTGTGTGTGTGTGTGTATGTGTGCGTGTGTGTGGACGCGCGCGCATGAAAGGAAGGGGTGTGTGGTAGAGACTTGTTTATGAAATATATGTTAATATATGGCCACATTTTCTGGGTGATATGATATTCTCGAATGCTTTGGATTTGACCTGGAGTAACGTTTGTTTTAAGCTCCTTGGGCAGAACCCAAATCTCAGCAGTGTCCAGTGAATTTAACTGAAAATAATTTTAAAAGAACGCGTGACTTACGTACAAAAAATGCTATCCATGACAAAGTTGTTTTGGTTATTTTTTTACATTAAGATATACTTTTACCACATGTACTTTGATCGGGATGGAGTTGACGTGGAGATCAAAGATTCTCTATAGATATCTAGTAGAGAATCTTTGGTGGAGATGAAGTTACCATGATAGCCTATCTGGCGATGGCCTTTTCGGCCCTCTCGATTACACACTCAAATGCTGCGTTCACCTGGCATAAGATGATCCGGAAGTCAGCAGCAAGAACGTAAACAAAAATGCAATGGCTTCCAGACCGAACTCGGCTGGGCTTCAGCCCTCTGCGACAGAAAAACTCATACCAAAGCCATCTTTAGGACAATATGTTTTTACTGAAAAGCTTGGCAGCGGTACATATGCGACTGTTTACAAAGCTTATAGTAAGGTGAGTTACTGGTAAACTAATACTAACCATTTATTTGCAAACAAGTGGATTCCGTCAATTCCTCTCAGAAAGTTTCAGCGCCCGGGAAGATTGAAGAATACCGGACCACTCGTACATTATTGTGCGAGAATGTGGGGTAGATGGGGGCGGGTGGTTGGGGTGGGGGAGGGGGAGGGGGGTCTCCCCCCTGACAAAATGTTAATGAATAGATCTACCGGTCGGAAATTCTCCATTGAGAGATATTAAAAACTGGAAAATTATGAATTCCTAAGGTTGAAATATATATAGGCTATCATCATAGGCAAAGTCAGTCCGCTGGTCCGGTATTCTTCAATCTTACCAAATGGCCACCTCTATTCCCACCCGGAGTGAGAATAGTGCAGGCGAGTCTTGTGGCTATTCTCACCTGGTGCGCGTTCACCAAATTTTGCGTTCAACCCTAAACCACAGAATTCTACACTGTGATAACAGAAAAAATGTAGAATTCTGTGCCGTGAACAAACGTTCCATTACAACTGTAGCCTACTAAAAGCGTACAATTTTGTCTGTGGGCAGTGGAGAGAAAGAGAGAGAGGAGTAGCGCGAGAATTTCCGGGCAAAACAAAATGGCGACCCGCGTAGTTCGGCTCGATTCGAAAAGTTAAATAGCCGTAGCATCTTTGTAGACAACCAAATTAATTTACTTTTGTGTTTTAACATCATTTTTTAACTTTGTTTTGGTCAATTTGATCGTCCACACCGATAGACAGTATTCAGAAAGAGACAGAGAGAGAGAGAAGAGGGGAGGAGTTGATCTTGCGAGAACTTCCGGGCGGGTGAGAATAGCCACTTTCTTTAAAAATCTCTAGATTCTAGCTCTTGAAATTGAATTTGATGCAAAAAATGCTTCTTCCCAGTCTTTGCAGAACGAAGTGGCTAGCCGTACGTACGGCTAGACTGAGAGTCTAGCCGTACTTACAGGGTCGGGAAATCGGGAAAAAGTCAGGAATTTTGAGATGGGTCGGGAAAAAGTCGGGAATTTTGTGATGGGTGGGTAAGTCGGGAAAGGATAGGGCCTGTGTAATGTGTAGCTATCTAGACTGTATGGTTGATAAATCCTGAAGAGGAAACATATAACTGAACCGCTGTGGCGGAAGTGTATGTGTGACACTGAGGCTTGATCAGGAAGAATCAAGAGCTACTTTCGCTTTCGTTACCGCCCATAAATTTTCCGGTAATAGTCTGATAGATAACGCAACATTTGTAACATGCAGGTTATGAATTATGAACGCTGTGTCGCCTTGAAAATAAATCAATATTAAAAATTGCCCTCTGCTGTCGCTTGT